TTAGTTTCTCCCATGTGAACTCTTTCCTACATGCTATCTGGTTTGGCATCGTCAAAAAATATACACAATAAACAATTAAACATCACAGTTAGTATGGTAGGATAGATTATCAAACATTATAGTGAATGTAGCTTGTAATATTTATGTACATTAACCAATATTGTAGGGATAAGTTTCAAAGGAGATACTTAGAATGAATTTATTCTGCAAAACTTTGCACTTGAACTTGTGTATAGGTGTTTTGTGCATTTGTAATTTTTTAAGTTGGTATGACATCAAATGACAATGGATTGTACAACTATGAACTCGTGTTTTCTACTGACCTTATGCTAAGTATAGTGAATTTAATGCTAAAAACCTATTCCCCTGATTTCAAACACATACTTTTCTGAAAAACTAAAGAACGATAATCCTGTTGACAAGAAAGTCGTAGCATTTTTCATGAGTTGATGGAGTAATTGCTCTTGTGACGGGAGATTCTTTTTTCATTTCTACACAAGGTTAGAATGTTAAATTTGTTGTTGTCTAAACAAGATTAATAGTTTTTCGACTAACAAGCTCTCCACATAATAGGCAACTTGAGAGACTTTTTCTGTTATATTCTTTTACACTTGAAATCTTTTTTATTGATTATTTATAGTTAGTGTATAGTCTTTTCAGTTAGAGAAATGAAAGCTTTTCTATTGATTATTTATAGTTAGTATATATTTTTTTTTTGTTAGAGGAATGATGTACTACGAGAGCTTTAACGTTTTAAGCATTTCTTGGCATTACTATAGAAAGAGGTAACGAAATATTTTTCTAAGCTTTTTTTCTATCAAAATTTTGCTTAGAGGTCGAAACCTTAAATGTTCTACCTTATCAAAGATGAAACCTTGAATGTTTCTGTTGGAGATTTACAGAAGATTTCTGTAGTAAGACATGACCTATCTGTGCATGAATAATTTCCTTTTTGTATGATGTATGTGCTTGACATGAATTGACATTTGAATTTGTTCAAGGCATGAGCTATGGTCTAAAAGTAACAATTTGAGCAAAAAACAGAACCATTATAAGTGATAATTACATGTAACCAGTTGCTTATACTATTCAATATTTGTGGCTATGGACGTTAGAGTTCTATGGATGTAAAACTCCTTAAGGTGAGAAAGCTTATTGAATATTGTTCAATTTAGCACTAACAAATTTCCTGTTGGCTTACTCAGTACTACACATACATGTCAAGTATCACCTTATTTGTCATATTACAATTATGAGTTAATGACACTTGGTTCTGTTACATGATAACATGATATGAATGAAAGGAAAATAAGTTCAATTTTTCATATTAACTGTATTTCCATGTTTTGTTTCAGAGATTACAGAGGATGTCTCTATGATGCCACATAAAGTTAAAACATACAGTTTTCTCTCTTTGATGTTTGGGACAGAATTTTGTCGTTAAAGTTCTTTTGTAGGAAAGCACTATTCTTTGACTATCTATTTTGCATTTAGCAGAGTTGTTTGAAGGCTACAATCAAATTGTGGCTAAAAGGAAATTCACATATGAACCTATTGGCCAACATTATGGGAATCAGAAGCGAAGACGTATTGTGAGCTTTGTGGTCAAATAAGTTTGTGGAGAAACTTGGAGAAAAAAAATTACAGGAAGATTGATTCTTCTGTATTCAAATGGACTCAATTATTTGGTAAAATCTATTTCCTTCTTAACATGTGCAACAATCTCTCTCTCCGTATTGTATGTACCGATGAGTTGAAGAACTGGAAGTGAAAAAGATTAAGAGGTTTATTAATTTGTGTTCGGAAAGTGATAATTATGTTGGCCAGTTTAACATTGTTATTAATCATAGATACTAATTGTTTTTTATGTTTAGTGGAACATACAAAGAATGTGTTTGCACTAAATTATAATCATTCAAGAATAGTTATTCCTCCGACTGCTCCTTGTGATGCAGCAAACCATTGTGGCTAAATTGCCAAATGCATCAGACACTCATAAAGCTCGAGACTCTAGAATCCTGAGGACATGGTTATGTGTTCCCTCTGAGCAGAGTTCACGAGTACAACATGATAGAAATAATAGAACTATAGAAGAAAGATGAATATTCTTGCTTGGTTAAGAAGAGTGAGTTAACTGAGAAATTTTTTAATTTGGCCAAATGCATAGACAATCCCTTAAACTTGTCCTTATTTTCCACCTAGACACTTTATCTAAGCACATGACCTATTGGGCCCCTGAAGTTAATTGAAAATGTACCAATTAAACACAAATTACTGACATGGTAATGTGCGTGTTTCACACCTCTTTTAAAGGGCGTGAATAACTACATAAGCTATTGACATGGGACACACGGTAATGTGCGTGTTTCACACCTCTTTTAAAGGGCGTGAATAACTACATAAGCTATTGACATGGGACACACGGTAATGTGCGTGTTTCACACCTCTTTTAAAGGGCGTGAATAACTACATAAGCTATTGACATGGGACACACGGTAATGTGCGTGTTTCACACCTCTTTTAAAGGGCGTGAATAACTACATAAGCTATTGACATGGGACACACGTCAGCATGAGAAACAAACCAAAAAGTTTAAGCAATATTTTACTAAAATTGTTATCTTTCTTTCTCCTCTTTGCCGCAACATCATGCCCACCATAGCCACTGCCCCCGGCGTCCATCATGCCCACCATAACCACTGCAAATCTGCAATTATGTCCACCTTTTACATTTTGTTCATAATTTATATTTCCCTTTACTAACTTGCAGGTTAATTAATTCCAGGTATGAGCTTTGTTTTACCGGAGAAAAATTGATGACTACTTCAGCATCACATAAGCCTGAAATGAATAGTGACAAACCTCAAGCTCACAACTCAAATGTGGCTTTCACTTCCACCATCACTTCGAAAATACCCATCCCCATTCCTCGGAATAGACCCGTAACGATTATCACCACCACCACGGTTGTTAGGCCAACTACCACCACCGTTGTTATGGTCGTCGTCGCAGGGTGCTCCCCTGTTAAGATTTATTTTAACTTGAAATTTTGGATCAGTTCCATATTTAAGATTTTAGAAAGTCCATGATTTCTTGATCCATGTTTAATTTTTTAAGAGATGCACTGAAATACTGAAAATGTGGGGGGTGGAAAACGATGATTTTCAGATATAGGAGAAGCTGGCTCATGGAAGAGAAATGGAGTAGGGTCTTCGAAATTTGGAGGTTTAGTTGTGGAGGAATATTCAGATTGTGACGTTAATAAAAACAAAAGCAGAGAAGAGTCCGATAGGAAGCTTCAAACTCTATTTGGGGAAGAAACAAAAATGGGGGTTGAGATTTTAAAATAGTTTGGTTTTTATCTTCAGTTTTTTCCAATTGATTATTTGTAATTAAAATGGCGACGTTTTTGCTTCTCATTGGCTTATGTGCCACGTCACTGCGAGTGAGATACACGCATTTTATGTTCTTATATCTTGTGTCTAATTGGTGCACTTTCAATTAACTTCAAGTGTCCAATAGGTCATGTGCTTACATAAAGTGTCTAGGTGAAAAATAAGGACAAGTTTAAAGGGTTGTCTATGCATTTGGCCTTTTAATTTTAATTTCTATAAGAAGCGTTGTATATGCCATCACCACCATAGTTTAAAAGAAACTAAATACCTAACAAGTAGGCATGTGCATAAACTAAATACCTAATATGTCGGCCCGTGCTATGCACGGGCATCACCTCTCTAGTTCCCCCCTATATCACGTGAATCTTTAAAAAAAAAAA